AGGCCAATCGGCGACCTCATCAGCGAACCGCTCAGCCTGGTGATTTCTCCTGACCAACAACTTCTACGTCCGGAAGTCCTTCGCGCAGATGCCATGAAGGCACTGGCAGAGCACACTGCAAGTTCGAATTTGAGAAGGGCGCTGCTACGCAAGACTCGGAATCAACAAGACCTTCAAGGGCTACAACCTAGGCATCATTAGCCACGACCCCGACGGCAAGAGCATCTGGGTTCAGGTCAATACAACAACCATAAAGGTCGCCAACAACCAAGTCAGGAACGCATGTGGCTGGGAAGACTCCGAGCCGCGAAGACATCGCGCTGCTGAAGGATGCCGAGGCGAACATTCGTCGCGACCTTTGGGAAGACGGTCGAGAAGAACCTCCTGGAGCACTTCAAGAGGCGACAAGCGAGCTCGCGACCAGCGCGCCACCAACTCCGGCACCACTCGTTCCTCGCAGGGCCGACTACTGGCGGTTCACGGACGAGGAGGCCATTCGAGTCCACGTGGTGCCGCGCTACGACCTCTACGCGCCCGTCCCGAGTGACTGCGACGTCTGGACGACCTGGACGACACGAGGAAAACCTACATCCATGAGCACGAAGATCAACCTCCTCATGACCAATGGCGCGATCCTCGATGCGCACAAACCTGGGACCGCGCGTGGACCGGGAGAACTTCCTTTTCATGGAGACCTCTTCTTCACGAAGAACTTCAAGATCCTGAGGCACCTCCTCCACTACCACTACGTTTGCCGGCGCAACCAGCTGGTCCACCACGTACGCGGACACTTTCACGACAACCAGGCGGACAAGTACGACAAGAGCAACATCAGACCAATGTGCATCAAGAGCAACATCGCCCTCAAGTTCGGCAGCAAAAGACAAGCGTCAGGACGTACATCGACAACAGGTCGGTCACAGTCATGCCGTCCAGTTGAGGGAGACTCGTGAGCCAAAGAAAAATAAGACCAGTGTGAATGATGAGCGCAAGAGCACTTAGGCTTTGGGTCCCCGTTGCTGTTGGCTCACTGTCTCCGTAGTCGTACGCTGAGCCACCCTTTAGCTTCGCAAGGCGAGAAAATGGGCGCCCCTCGTGTTTGCTGAGCTTCCGTGATTTCACTTGAGCATTGTGCAAGCTTTAGTGTCAGACCAATGAGGCTGTTAGTGGACTGTGTCACATATACTCGAGCTGGAGGAGTTGCATAGCATATTCTGCCATTCGGATGGTGGCTACGGCGTTCACAGTGCTGTGTAATCAGCCTTCTGGTTTCAGAACAGGGCTTCCTGTACACTCGCATGTGGAGGAACCAAGGCTGTAGAGCCAATGATGAAGCAGTTCTGCTGGAAAGGGGCCTGACGATAGAGCTTCTCGGCAGCATCACGATGACTCAGGCTCACCAGGAAGGGTGCACCAGGTGCTTGTAATTGAAGTTGTCGTTTCACTTTTTTGGCCTTGGTTTGGTCGTTTTGGTGGTCAGCGGTGTAGCGGCGTAGCGGGCGTGGCGGGTGGGTTCCGAAGGGCTGCGGTCGTTTGCTTGGTAAAGGAAAGGGTGAAAGCCCGCAAAGCCCGCGTTCAGGGCGTAGCAGTCCTGAAGCCATGGGCCGGTGAAGGCCCAGTGGTTTCAAGTGCTTAAGTGATGGCGAAGGAATTCATGATTATCCAGGAGTTCTGCGGGATGCACTTATCCGGTTGACCCTGGAAGGTTTGTGAAGAAGGCCTGAAGGTGACCAAGACCAGCCCTGTGGAAAGGTTGGCGCAAGTCAGCAAAGTGGTAAAACCTTTGCACCGCTTTCGGTAACCCAACAACAAAACAACTCTCTGCTCCTTCGTGGAACCCTCAAGAGGAAGCATCAGCAACTATTGAACATGTAGTAGTTTGACATCCTGACTGGCTAGCAACTGGAAAGCTTGTGTTTGCCCGCGCCTTGGGCAGGAGGACCAGGCAAAGCGTCCTGTGAAAAGGCTTGGGTGTTGTTGTTAAAAAAGAACTGGCAATGTTTTCGAAAAGCAGTCCTCAGTTCTCATTTTCAGCCAAGGCGCAAGGCCAGATTCAGGAAGAGAACTCCGCAGAAACTGCTCTGACGGCAGGATCTGGCCATGCCAAAAAAAAACACTGAAAACGGGGAGAGGAAGCGGTGGCGATGGCCTAAGGGCGCAGGAGCCCACGGCCTAAGCTGAGGAGAATTTTGTGCTCTGTGCTGACTACGCATCTTGGGCTAGTCTTGGTTTGCAGCCACAGCCAAAATGCTGATTCCTGCTACAACGCCGATGGCGAAGAGCCCAGGCCCTGCAACCAGGCAGACACTGGAGACGGAGGTGTCAGAGAGGGTATTTTCCCAAAATAGGACCCCAATATAGACCCCAATATACTATATTCCTTATTTTAGGGACCCCCAAAAAGGTACCCCTAATTGGGAAACCCCCAGAGGCCGAAGAGGCCGGGGCTGGGCCTACACCGAAGACTCGTGTCTCATCAAAGGGAATTGAATCGCTGGCGCAGTCCCGCTGCATTCAGCACCTTTCGGAGATGGCACCACAGAAGGCAGACATCACAAACACGTGGCCTTCAGCTGAGACGGTCTCGGGTCATCTCGGGTCCCGGTGTGCTTGAGCCAAAGACGAGAACAAGCGAGCAAGCGAGAGGCGGCTAGAGAAGAGTCACAAGTCCTCAAAAAGTGCAAAGGTTCTAAGTAGCTGTGACAGCGGTCTTTTGACGGCACGCTCTCACTTTGGCCACTCCATTTGGAGGGCCGCGTCACAATTTGTCAGTGCTTTGCTAGACCTTGCTGGAGCCTGGCTCCAGGTTAGATGCTTTTCCTTCCTTCGGATTTGACGCCTTTCCCAGTTCGACCAAGGCTGCCCCGGACAAGACGATAGCAGACCCAAAGACCACGGTGAGGGAGAGCTGTTCATTCAAGTATCCCACAGAGATTGCGCCAACGCAAATGGTGTTTAGCTTGCCAATGATCTGCTGTGAGCTTGCTCCCAGCTCCTTCAGGGCTAAGACTCCCAAGAAGTTCAGGGACACGGCACAGACCTCTGTACATTGGTAGAACACTTTAAAAAAGAGACCGCTTAACAAAGCAACAAACAAAAATGGGTGAAAAACCCTAAACCCCAAATAGTTGTTTCCATTCTCTTTTCCATTATCCCAATATAACCCCCATATTCTATCTACCTAAGGGGGGACTATATAAAAAGGCGAAGCCATAATTTGGACAAAACCCTGAACCCTAAATAGTAGCTTCCATTTTCTTTTCCATTATCCCTACATAACCCCTATATAACCCCATTAGGCAAAAACAAACAAGGCAGCTTCTTTGAGCCCAGGGACACAGGTCAGGCAGATTAAAGTAACAGCTTCGCGGCTGAGCTCTGTCAAGGCTTGCTGGAAGCTGTCGGTGCAAACGGCGAAGATGAAGGCCGTAAGAACACACCAGGGTGCCTGCAAGGAATACAGCTGCATGGGGCTCAGTGCCTTTTCCTCCTTCAATGGGCTCATCTCCGAAGAATACTCGCAGGGCGCAAGGAGAATATCCATAACCACAATTTTCAAGGACCGTGTGCCGACGGAAGCCAGGGCGAACAGGATACCTATCAGGGTTCGCTGAGGTGCAGCAGTTGTCTGGAGAGACTTCACTTCGCCTGCAGCAATCACCAAAGCTCCAGAAAATGCCAACCAAATACCCATCCACGACATCCACGTCAAATTGCGGCCAAATCCATAAGACAGCAAGGCTACACTTACCGGTGACAGTGTGCCCAGTATGGCACAAACACCAGCTCCAGCATACACCAAGGCAGTGTTGTTGAAGACCACCGTCAGTGGGTTGCTCAGGGCAAGCGGAAGGATGTTCCGAAGAAACCATTCATGTGTCCGCTCGACGCTCAAAGCGCTCAAAGCTTGCTTTGCACCGGAGAGGAACCAGTATGCGCAGCAAGTTAGCCACACGCAGAAGAAGTGAAGGGTGGTGACGACTCCTCCACAGAGTTGCTTTCATGCAGTGACTGAAATGCCCTGTTGCTGCACCTGCGTTTCTTCGTTTTGTGTGCCTGGATGCTTGTAAAAGACGCTCAACCTGCTCATCAAGATCTGTGTGCTCACCAAGCTGGCCACGAACAAACCTTACAGCAAACAGAAAGATGCAGGAACCAACCTTTGAGAAAAGATTGCAACACGTGGTTATGCAGATGGGAGCATGATGGAGCAAACTGAAGTAAGTGGCATGTCGTTGCAATAACATAGGGACCGCGTCGTCGAAGGATGAAGCCAATTGCTAAAAAGATTGCTCCTGAAGACAGCATTTGCATCACACGCCGTCTTTGAGCATCATGAGGGCTCTTCCACTGGTGTCTGAATGCACAAAGCATGCCTCTCCTGTGACGGCTGCAGAAGCTGAATGCTGTACATCTGCCACAGCCATGTGTTAGTTGGTTGGAGGCATAAATAGTAGAGCGTACGCTACCTGATCGAAGCCGCGAGAAACGGCTTCAGGGGGCAGCAAGTCTGACATGCAGAAGACGGTGCCATGGACGGATCTGTAGCTGTATTCAAGCGCCGCACAACTCTTGCTGTGGTGCTGGGTATACCATGCTTAGCCAAGTGGCACCCTAAGGGGTACAATTACGGAAGTGCTGAAGCAGGCTTAACTGTTCTGCATACACGTGTCGAAGATACAATCTCAGACATATGCAGCTTTCTTTGACATGCACTTGTATGCTATTCTGCTGCGAGGTGGGGATGTGAAGCCTCCAACTGTTGTGGTGTACGTGGCAACGGCGCCTCATTGCGAACCTTGCATAGCACTTGGTCTCACCATGAAACCTCTAGACCTGTTGCAGGTGTGGCTCAGGCTGAAACGGATCCCAAGAGTGCATGGATCATGGCAAATCAATGGTTGAATTGTTGAGGAAACTGGGGGCGGAGTAGAAACTGACTAGTGTCTCGTGGTGCTACTCAGCTGCTGCAGCAAACGTTGAGCGCACTTTCTCTGCATGGTCAAATTTGTGATGCTATTGAACCGACTTTCTTTGCTTCAGGAAGAAGCAGCAACGCAGTTCGCTTGCAGCAAAATACATACTGTCATTAAGAACAGTTCGAACCGCGCCTTGTCATTTGAAGAAGCAGTGATTCTATATCAGCACTTTTTGACCGCACAGCAACCTTTGCAGAGGAAGCGATTCCATGCCACCACGAATTCCATGGCTTGCTGCTATCAGACCAGGCCGTTCAACAGGAGTGAATTTGGACCACTTCGTTGCGTGGGCAAACTTTGCTGCCATCCACCCATGCTCCCGGCTCCTTGCAAATTCTGCTATGCTTCCAGGAGGATGGCCCAGAGACGGAGAAGAGGGAAATGGAGAACCGGCAACACTCCTGTCTAGCTGAGTCTAGCTTACGCCTCTAGCTACACAAGAACATTCCCAACGAAGTTGTCCAACAAGAGTCTTTCTGGCGTTCAGGAAGAGATGTGCTCACACAAGACTTGCGCCAGTCCCCGCTGATACTCGCGTGTTCTGTTTTGTAATGTTTCGAAGCATGAGATGGGCCGAATACAGGCACCAAGCAAAGTCGCAGTTGCAGCCTGATCCGCTTCGGCAACACGCGGGACCGCACTCAACGAAGCAACCGCAGTCACATGGCTTCCAGTGATCGAGTGACATCTCTTGATATGCCGTACCTGGTCTGTTGCTTCAACTAGCGCAGTGTAATCAGACATTCTGAGAGCACATTTTTCAGTAGTGCTTAAGCTTGAGCATGCCACTGACTGGCATGCGTTGGTGATTTTCCCCTGTGATGCCTGACAGGTTTGGTATTTCATGAATTTTGGACAAAGGACATCATCGGCGGCACACACTACCATAGAACTCTTGAGGCATCCTAGGTCCTTAGGTCTAACACGCCAGTGTGCATGTAAACAAGTAACGGCCCTGGGCGTTCAGGTGCAAATGCCTTGAGAGATTGGGAAGACGTGCTGCGCTTCCGAAGCTCTTCTTGCCTTTTTGTACGGCTACCCATGGGCTTTGCGTGTGTTCCGTGAAAGCACACGAAGAGAGGTATGGGAAATGGATCAGCGTGGTGATCTGACTGAGTTGATAAACTGTGGTTCCCAAGGCGCAGAAAAATGGCTTGTCAATGCGCCATCGAGGATGCCAAGAGCCACAGCGCATCACTTCAAGCAATCCTCTTTCAGATTCTAGCTGGTTCTTCATTTGCCCTGTGCATGCCTACCTGTGTTTGAGTGCTTGCTTTCAAAGCGCTGTTCAATGATGCTCAGGATGGGCGCGCAGTGCAGTGCCCTGGCAGCGCAAAGTCAAAGTGCTCAGCTGCGACAAGCAAGGTGCGTCCAACTAGCATGATGAAAGGCAGGGTGCCTCCAATCATGGCCAAAGCATGCCAAAGCGTCTATAGAGTCTTTTGTACAGTAATGTGGTAGTTTCCCAAAATAGGGGGACCCCAATATAGACCCCAAACTACTATAACCCTTATCATGGGGACCTCCAAAAGGGGACCCCTAATTTTGGGAAACCCCCATGTGTATTATGCAGAGTCTACGCGCTTTGCTGGGCCCAAGGCATGGGCCTCTGCGGATACAAAGAGACATTGGTTTGATGACCGCACTGTTCGAGGATAGTGCACAGCTGATCTTCATGACCTTAATATATGGTATTATATGGTAGTTTCCCTGAATCAGATAGTCCTTATTATGGGACCCCCAAAATGGTACCCCTAATTTCGGGAAATCCCCATCTATCCTCATTTGAGGCACCTCAACCAGGTACTGTCACAGAGCTTGCGTTGCACAAAGTTGTTTCACTACGTTTCACACCTGTACGCTTCTTTCCTAAGAGTCGGCACAAATTCAGGAGGAAGTCTTGCCTAAGAGCTTTCTCATGGATTCTCTCATGGTAAGGAAGTCGGGCGAGTTGGGCTTGCAGGGTCTCGTGGATCTTGTGCCACTTCGCTGGGGATGGGCTTCTTGCCCTCATAGGCAGCTTCAGGGATCCCAAGTAGGAGCTTCATGTTGATCAAGTTCACCAGGAGCCCGACACAAAAGGCCAGCTGTGGAAAGGGATGCCCCCAAAAGATATCCTTCATGGAGACAATGAAGATGGAACTGAAGATAGGAGGGCCTATCAGTATGCCCAACTGAGACGCGGTGGAGAAGAGCCCCATCATAGCCCCCAGTGGCAGTCCAGAGGCCACGGCCACGTTCGCATTCAGTGTATTCACGTAAACCCCTATCAAGACGCCAAAAGCACCCACCAAGTTGGCGGGATAGATAGCTGTTGCAGATCTCGCGATCATGTACAAGACATGGGACACGACGCCAACCACACAGCACAAAACCACCTGGAGCTTGACGGTCATACAATCCCGCAGCACACGCACCAGCACTGTGTTGGCAAAGAGTGCCACAGTTACATTGCACAACCGGAGTCCAGCGCGCTGGGGTGCAGTGATGCCAAGCCGATCTTTGGTGTACCTGGCTGCTGGTACCTCAACCCTAAACCCTAAAGCCGAAAAACAGCAACGGTCGCATCAGCTTCGCATCAGCTCGCAAACTCATCCTCTAGTCCGAGGCGCTGTGTGGTAAACTCCGACTCACCCACGCCCACGAAGGAGCCCAAGACGGCAATTTGAAGGGCAGCCTAAAACAGGACAGGACGGACTCACAGTGGCGTGCTGATGCACTGATGCCGTCCGTTTCCAGCCTTTGCTGTCGGGTTCTCTGCAAGCTGGCTTAGACCTTTAAATTCATCAGAAGCTCTCAGCAGTCCGGAAAGGCACTCTAGGCACTCTAGGCGACCAGGCACTGGGACCAGGAAAGGGCGGCGCGGCCTGAGGCCGGAGATCCTGGCTCTCCTCAGCAAACTCACAGATCATCTCGACTCGATGTCATATGCTTGTTTGCCCGACTCAGTTTCGTGCGTTGGGTCTCCGTGGTGTTATCCGCCGACTCTGGAAAGAAAAGGACAGCCTGTAGAAGCTGTAGCAACAAAGCAAAAGTAAGGCAACACGAGGCACATCCAAAGGCTCAGGAAGTTGAGACTGAGTTGCCAGGACCAGGGCCGACATCTTGCAGGTGACGCTCATGTTCAAAGCGGTGGCGGTCAAGTTGGCTTCGCTGCGGTTCGCGGCCACGAACTCTACCAACTCAGCAAAGCGCAGCGCAAACCACTTTTCTAATCGCACAACTCTAACCCTGTCCCCCTGAGTCCTTTGCCAGTGGTGCCACGAAGCCATAGAGGACTTGTACGGCTGCAAGGAGACCGTAGGCCGAAGCGCGTGTGCGCTCGGTTGTCATGTCAAGAATCCACATGTTCAGCAGCACCTCGCGAAGTCAGACTTCTCAGATCCAGGGAAAGATCTCGCTCCAGAGTTTAAGCTTCGTCTGACAGGAGCTGCAGAGCTTTGTCTGTGACTTTATAACTGAACCCTGGCCTTTTTTGACTTGTTTGTCTTGTATTTTGGGGGACCAGGAGCCCATGAGTTGGTATGGCGCAAGAATTGCATGTGACAGGCCCTGTTGCCTCGCTTTGCCTTTTACAGGAATCTAATGCCGCTGTGGTGCTACTCTCTGCTGTCGCGCTGCTTTCTGATGATTCCAGGCTACTGAATGTCCACAGCTTGCGAAGCTGTTATAGTGTCGGAACAGCAGTAATGTCTCTGAATCTGGAACAAGTGAATCCCAAGAAATGGAAAAACTCATCTTTTCCCAACAAAGTCTGATATGCCTCAAGGACCTGACCCAGCTCCGCATGACCATCATCAACTCACAGTCATCAATGGGAAATGCTAGCCTGCAAGTCGCGGCACCGCGCATCTGTAGGCCATTAAAAACTCATCGGTATTCTTAGGTTAGCTTCACCCCCACACCCTCCGCGCGCACCTTGAGCTTTCTAGGGTTTGTCGTGTCGCCACTCTTGAGCCCCTGCCTGGCCCCACGCTGACCCCACACCTGACCCTGCTTCCGACCGCCCAACACCCTCCAGACCTCGCCCCATGGGCCCCCCCCTGCTCAAGAAGAAGAGGCCTGAAGCGCATGTGCAAGCACTCTTCAGCAGTGCATTAGCCACGGACTGAATTCTTAGTGTCCCTAATGGGTAGATGCCATTACTCCTCGATAAGGATCTCATAACAAACCCCATAGAATTGGTCGAGTATAGCAATGTGGTCAAGGGCTCACATGTAGACAAAACCAACCGGAGGCAAAAATGCCAGAGAAATCTCCTCAGTCTGCCGAGATTCCTGTTTTCAAGATGCAGCTGTTTCCGAAAGTCGACAGCAAGTGACACCACGCATTCTTTGAGATGCGCTCAGCTCTAGTAAGCCGCTCTTGCGCTCACGCAACACAACATCTGAGCTGCAGATGCACAAACCGCTGCCCACCAATCGTGTGAAACTAGCGGCACCTCGCAGGTTCGCGAGGGCCGGGTCCCGCGGGCAGTGAAGTCGCTGGCGAGGGGGCTTGATTTGGATTGAAGCGGGCATGAATGGCCCGCCACGCAGGGCTTGGCAGCCCACGCAAGCCGCGGTTGGCCATCGCAGTTGCCTCATCTGCAAAAGACATGCCGTTTTCTTCCTCTTGCACGCTGACATTACCATTCGCTTCCTCGAAAGCATGTTCCACCGGCTATGCCCCCAGGGCAGCATCAAATGTCTCAAAGCCACTAGCTTCTCGCATGTCCTCGCGCCGCAGCATGCTGGCTTCCGATATTGGCCCCTCCGTCCTATCGGCGCCCAATTCTGCACGCATCTCTGGTGAGGCGGTGTCAGTTTGCGTGCTGTCATGGGCATGGTCCTCTGGCAAGAAGAGAGGCACGCCTGGCAATGCTCCCTCCATCACATCAACCACATTTGTGATGTCCGTGCCCAGATCTTCACGCAGCTCTGGAGATGCAGTCTCAGTCTGCACGCTGTCATGGCTGTAGTCTTCGCGTAAGGGGAGAGAAACATTTGGCAACAATCCCTCCGTCATATCAAAGAGGTTTGCGGCCACCGTGTCCAGATCTTCTTGCAGCTCTGATGGCGCTGTCTCAGTTTGCATGCTGCCATGGGCGCGGTCTTCCGGTAAGCGGAGAGGCACATAATGTGGCAACAATCCCTCCGTCATATCAAAGAGGTTTGCGGCCACCGTGCCCAGATTTTCATGCAGCTCTGGTGTGTGGTTTTGGGTATCTAAAGGGCGAGTGACTATGCGAACGTCCATCTGGCTCAGTCAGCCAAGTGCAACAGGCATAGCAGTGGAGTGATGAAACTGTTAAGCATGACGAAAGAGGATCACAAATGATGGAGAAGAAATGACCAGTAATGGCGCATGCTGATGAGTAATGAGTAATGATCGAAATACCTGAAAATGATGAATAATTTAAAGCCATGTGAATGATGAAAGGGAATCTGGATTGAATGAATATAATGCAAACTGCTTCAAAACAATGACAGGTGTGATGGCAAACAATGATAGATCATGGGAAAATATGAAGCCTGATGAAACATGATGAAATGCGGAGAGAAATCACTGAAGCTCATGAATACGATGAAAACCGTGAAGGGAGTCTTCTCTTTTATGGTCCTTCCTCACTGCCTTAAGAGCTGCCAACCTTTCTCTGTCTGGTCCTGTGCTTTTCCCCTTGCCCACAACCTTTCTCTGCAGAGCTTTGGCTTCTCCAGCTGGTTCCATTTGTTGCATCTGTTCGGCTATTTTGCTTGGCAAATATGGGTTTGCAAACCATGCTGCTGGCCTGTGCAGAATTTCTCCTGGTCCAGCCTTTTGGTTGTAGCACTGCTGTGCTGATGTTGCCTACTGACCACAACTAGCTGCCATCCCCTGTGTGCTTGAAGCGCTGCGGTGATCTCTCTAAGCATATCACCCATGTTGCTTGACGATGCTTAAGCAGGTGATGGTTGCACTACCAGGCATGTTTCAGTGCTCTTAAATAAGCTTGATAGCCTGAAACCTTAAACCATAAAGCTTCAATCCGGAGTCCCTTCTCTCTTGCGCTACCCGTCATGATTGTCTTTGGAGGGCGCACGCGAAGGCTTTTTTTGTTTTGGGAGGGGGGGGGGACAATTACTATTTCCGCCAGAAAGTACTAGTCCTACTACGACCACGACTCCGACGACTACCACTACTACGGCTACTACTACTACCGTAGTAGTACTACTACTAGGACTACTACTACTACTACTACGACTACTACTACTGCTACTACTACGACTACTACTACCACTAGCATCTGGCCAGGGGGCCGACTACTACGCCACTTCTACTTCTTTTTTTGTTTTTTTCGAGGGGGGGCCTGCAGGCACCACTACTACTCACACTACTGCTACGAGGGCTACC